ACTCCCGCTATTTTCTGGTCCCGAAGGAGACGGGGCGGGGGGAATGAGACCCATCCTCGATCTGTCAGTGTTCAACAAGGGAATGGCCTTTTCCCATGCTGACGATCAAACAGGTGCTGGAGCATCTGTCAAGCCTGGGTTTTCATTATCAAATGGAAGAAGAGCTGTCCTCTTCCCTCCCAGGTTATCATTTAACTGGGAGTGGAATTGAACTCAGCCCGCATGAGAGCGCGACTCTCACAGCGGAGAGGGGAGAAAGTGACAGCTCTCCTCCGGCGCGTCACACCCCGCGGGGCGGTGACAGCCCTCTCCGTGATACAGTTTTTAGACATGATGTCAGCTGGTCACGTGGTGATCGCCCTGGGTCTCCTTCACTTGAGGAGACTCCAGAGGTGGTTTATTCGCCTGCGCATCGACCCTGTGCGTCAGAGGAGACGCATGGTGTACATTCCTCCTTCCGTGGGTTTGGTTTTAACCTATTGGAAAAATCTCCACGTCTTGTCAGTGGGGGTGCCCCTGAGCAGAGTGACGTCACACCGCAGTGTTCACAGACGCATCTCTCGCAGGCTGAGGAACGTGCATGTCGCAGGCAGGGGGGGGACAGTGGCCGGTTCATATGTCTCTCCATATAAACGTGCTGGAATTACTCTCCGTATGGAGAGTAATCCAGCATCTTTTCGCCCCGTTGCGGTACAATCAACATGTGTTGATTCGAACAGACAACAAAGCAGCGGCGGCCTACATAAATCGCCAGGGAGGTGTACGATCAGCGCAGCTGCTTCACACACCAGAGCATCATACACAGCCAAATGGACAGCGTTCCGTTTGACATGTAGGGAAAAGCCTGGACCCCGTTACGGTCACCCTGCCTCACGTGCTGTCGTTCCTCCAGCTGTTGCTGGACAGGAACTGGCTTATAGCACGGTCAAAACATATGCTGCTGCCATTTCATCTTGCCACGTAGGTTTGGTGTCAGCACGGTGTTAGTCACCCTCTGACAAAACGTTTTCTACGGGGAGTACAGAGACTCAGACCTGTGTCACGCGCTTTGGCGCCTCAATGGGATTTGGCTTTAGTGTTACGCGCACTGAGAGAAGCTCCATTTGAACCTTTAGATCAGGTCCCCCTAAAAGTTCTTGTCAGCCAAAGTAGCTCTGCTCTTGGCTCTGACATCAGCTAAAAGGGGTGAGTGATTTGTCTGCTCTCTCTGTGGCTCCGTCATGTCTCCAGATCCAAGGAGATGGCAGCTATTGGAGTAGAACACTTTTCTGGTGGCTGAATAGCCCCCCTCTCCGCGCCGTTCGTTGAATGAGGCTGGCCTCTATTAAATCAGAAAGGAATTGAAAACACCGGAATCAAAAGTTATAACAATTATCTGAGTTTACTGGTAGGAAATAGAACAAGTATACAAGTTATACAGAGTACTCCGGACTTTCAGATTTGTGATGCGATGCGGATAAATGTGTCGGGATCAAACCAACTCATCAAACAAAAAGAAATTGGACTTCAGGTTTGTGATGCGATTCGGACACAGATATCGGGATCAAACCACTCACCAAACCAAAAAAGCCTTTTTACACTCAAAAACATCAGTATTCATATCTATCTTTGGGGCGGAGATTTGTCGACTCTTCCTTCCCTTTTTCCTCCCAAGCGAATTAGAGAACCCCTGGGGAGGAGCTGTTTAAACTGCTCACCTCCCCCAAGTGTCCTGATTGGCTGGATTCACTTCTGGTCGAGGTCAATCAGAGTTCCGAACAGAGAGTGAGATCCTAAATTTCACCAGGTCAAAAGTCAACGTTTATCTCCACCTTATCTACACCACATTCCCTTCCCATACGTTCTTCACCTATTTAACGATGTCTTTAACGACTTAAAAACAGCATCTGGCTTTTAGGGATGATAAGAAGCGATGTTGGTGTGTGACACACAGAATCTCTAAGTCAGTGAATTTAAAAGTGAGAATAACATTCTTTTTCTAAGTGATTATCAAAACCCGTTTGTGATTACCTAAAACAGTTCAAACTATACATGTTCACTAAAATACAATTCAAAATAATACATGTTTACTTCAATACAGTGTAGAATCATATCTTTTTACTTCACAGCTTAGCTGTTTTGCGCCCTAGCCTGGTTTTTATGCCAAAAATTATCACAGGTCTCTTTTTTAGATCAAGGGTTTTTTTCCTCCTCCTCACACATCAGAGGAGGAAGCCACATCTCATGTCCTCCGTCCCATGCGCGCGCTGTCATGCTATACGGCATGCGCGGCTGTGTTGCGCAGTTTCCAGCGTCTGTTTGTGCATTACAGAGAGCGCTCAATGGGGCAGCCTCTGTCTGCACAACGCCTGTCACACTGGCTGTGTGAGGCTGTGTCACAGGCGTATGTCTCCTCTGGGGCGGATCCTCCGGAGAACATCAAGCGCACGGCACCAGAGGAATTGTATCAACCTCTATGGTGTTGCACGGAGGACCGACAGTGGAAGACATTTGCACTGCTGCTTCTTGGTCTTCCCCCTGTTCTTTTATTCGTTTTTATTTGAGGGATGTCTCCCATTCCTCTCTGACACACTCAGTACTGAATGTCCTGTCAGAGTGAGTAATGTCGGGGACACAACTGTGTGCCCTCTCTCCTGCCTGTCGGCACTCAGAGAGCTGCCCTGTTTCCTCTCTTTTTTCGTTGTAACAAGTGGGACTTTGGTCTCTACTTTTTATAACGACAGGTATTCACCTTCATTCTGTGGTGGCTCTACTCTTCAGCCACCTCCCTTGTGAGTGTGTGTTCCCTTTCCCTGTCTGTGTGGGCGTGGTGGCTGTCACTCCTGGCTCCCGGCTCAATCTCCACCTGCTGCAAATCTCCACCTGGTGCAATCAGCTTTACACACCTGATTCCCATTCAGCCATTTACTAATGGTATATCAGCGGAGGCTCCACAACATGTCAGCGCCAGATCGTTGTTTAAACCCCAGTGGTAACTCTCAGCCTTCTTAGCCGATTTAAAGCTATTTCTCTGTACACGGAATACTTTTCTCATCTGTTTCTCTTATGCTCCAGGATCACTATCCAGCCGCCTTGTTACCATCACCTGCCGCCACCAGTCATCATTCCAACCGGATTACTCTCCACACTCACCAGTCTTCATTCCTACAGGATTACTCTCCACGCTCCTCCACCTCACAATAAACCTTTTTCCAACACTCTGCCGTGTCCTGCGTTTGGGTCCTATCGGATATCGTAACACATTCCCTCATGGAGAATATTCATTTTAAATGCTACATTTCCAGGGACTGTGATGCTCCATTACGCATGGCGCAATGGACATGGGTTATTAAATTGAGTAGGTGTGTTTTTTGTGCTCCTGGTAACGGACGGACCAGTGGGGCGTGGACTACATCCTGCTTCGCCCTTAACCCAATAGCGATAGCCTTAGAGGGCGAAGCCTTATACGAAATAGAACTGGGGTTACGTATTGTAACCCAACTTCTATGAGTATAGGCGCAGCCCTCTAAGGTTCGGGCCCCACTGGCTCCGTGAATAGCTGAAGAAAAGCTGTTGGCGTGGGAGCAGTTGGTCGGGCCTACTTCCTATTTATACGGAAGTGAGGCCGTAGGTGGGGCCCACGTCATAGGTGGGCGTGGATTAAGTCTGTCAGTGCTGCGCATGCGCAGTGGGATTACCCAATAGCGATAGCCTTAGAGGGCTGCGCCTATACTCATAGAAGCTGGGTTACAATACGTAACCCCAGGTTCTGCTTGTGAAAGGTACGAATAATTAGGCTACCTTAACATTAATAATTAATATGCGAGTAGCCAACGGCTTATTCTAACCGTTAGACTCTAACGGCTAGAGTATGCAGACTTATAAGCCGTATATATATATTTATATATATATTATATGTTATATATATATATAGCCTATATATATATATATATATATATAATATATACGTTACTAGTACGTTAAGATGGCTTACTCTAACGGTTAGAATAAGCCGTTGGCTTACTTTAACGTTAGAATAAGCCGCTTACTTTAACGGCATACTCGTTACGTTGACGTAAACTACCGAAATTAAAGTAAGGTAAAATCATTACCATGGACATTAAACATTAACGTTAGCTTCACTTACACTTACCTTTTGACAGAAACCCAAGAGATTGAGGACTCAACATCAAATCCTCCAAAACGAATCAGAGTTCCAAGGATCCAAGAAGATTTTGTTGATTTTGATCATTGTGAAGGGGAATCCACAGAAATGGATGCTCTAAAAAAGAAATCGGTATATTTTTCTTATTTTTAAGGAAAATGTTCTGAAAAATTCATCTTCTGCTTCTGCTTCTTCCTCTTCTTCCTGGTGCATGCTGGGAGATTTTCGGAGGGTGAAAGAAAGAGAAGACTGGTTGTGGACTTGAAGGGAACGACTTCCTGGCCTTCCTGACATCCAGGAAAAAGGTGAGATTCAAATCCATTTTAATGCCAAAAGTAAGTTATTGTTTTTAACTTTTTAAATATGATTTTTTGGGGCATTTCTGTTTTATTGGAAAGAGGCAGTAGAGATCTACTGGAAACAGTGGAGAAGGAGAAGATGATATGCAGCAAAAGGCCCAGCCGGATGGTTGCTGCTCCGTGTGGAACGTGTTCTACAGTATCAGGTAAAGCACTTAGGTACCCAGTTATTTTTGAGTTTGAATTTAGCCTTTGGAATGTCATTTACAACAGTGCATTGTAAAGACTGAAAGATTTAAAGCTTGACATGATTTGGTCTTTTACTTAAGAGGATGTTTGTCACTGAACTTCTTTAATGCTTAGTTTTTGTATTGATGATATTGTTTTGTTCTTTATTTTTGTAGTGAGAATCACTTTGCAATTGTGTAAGTGCTATATAAATAGTTATACTAATATTATTGTTGTTACCATCATTGCTATTATTAACAATGTTTTCTTTGTTTTCTTTATTTATCGCTGCAGAAAGGATCATGCCAGCCCACATCAAAGACCTGATCAAGAACTTGTGAATCTTCAGGCAGAAAAGATGAAAACACCTGTTCAAAGTTCCAGTTTCCTGTACATCAAACGATGCCTGTCTGGGACTCTGTTCCACATGTCTTCAGTCAGTCCTGGACCCTATGACTAGGACACTAGTTCTACCAAGGCTTAATAGAGGTAAGAGTGGTAGGAGAGGAGTAGAGTTATCTTTGTATTTAGGCTGCAAGTCGACAAAGGTGATCAAATGCTGATGCTAATAACGATCAGAGTAATTTGATATTGATTGTCTGCCAATACCGAATCCTGATCCGATTCTTCTATTTCCCAGATAATACAGCTGCACAATTACAACAGGAACTAATCTTTAGACAGTTAATACAGAAGGTACATTTAATGTTTGTGTTTTTACCAGTCATAGGGTAACAACAGATTTGACTGGTGGTAGGCTAAAAGGCTGTTTTGTTGATCATTTTATTTTTCATTACATTATAAAGATCTGCTAAATTGGAGGATTCCAAAGCTGAGCTGGAAGGGGAAGTCGCCACCTACAGGACAGCAAATCTAAAAATTAATTTGGATAAACTATTAAACCAGGTATTTTCACAAAGTAAGTACATTTGTTTTTAAATTGCAAGCAAATAATAATGACAGTCTTGGATCGATTTTGCATTTTAACTTTCATCAGCAACTGCAATAAAAGAAACTGTGAAATGTGTAAACAATCAGCCCATCAAGATATACGCATATGAATTTATACTATTGTTGAAATGTTTTTGTCCTTTCTTTGTCTTATTCACATTCTGTAGAAGAACAATCTGAGACACAGTGTGAGCCTGCACCCTGGACACCCACACACCCCAATAATCCCCCTTCAAAGAGCGAGCCACATGGGAAGGTATATATTATTTCCATAGTGGAGCCTTTTTATTTTTGCTCCTCAGTCTCATATTGGTGTCTACCTTTTATGTATAGGCTACTGTACACATTTTATGTTTCAGATTGTTGTCATTCACTTGCAAGGGGAGATTCCAGTGCGTCCAGAGGTCTGGGCAAAAATAAAAAACAACACAAGGGACTCCATGTTCGTGAAGGAGTTGGCTGTGGCGTTTTGGGGCACCGACACCTTAGGGGAAAGGAGCCTGACTGGAAAGGAATGCCCCACCACCAAGACCACCAGGCCGCCTCTAACCCTGCAGAAGCTATGGGGTTTGAAAGGTATGTTCTTAGCAGCACTAGCCACTTGCTCTTTGTGAGATACCAAGTTCTTGGTTATTTGAAATTTAATATTGATGATGTAATAATTAAAACTAGGGATGGGTTCCGAGCCCCGGTATTAACGGGGCCCCGGGGATGAATTATTAAAGACCGTGGTACCGTTAAGGTCCAACGTTAACGATCTTTTTATCGGTAATGGAGACGTTAAAAAAATAGATGTCATATGTATTATTGCTACACAAACATTATATCGCAGTCTTACTGTCGCCAACTCCGTTTCTAATATGCAAAAAGACTACAAAATGCGTCTATGATTTATTTTCGATCTTTCCAATCCAGACGAGAGATCTCTCCCCTGTCTGTGTGCGAGGGGGTGGGGCAGTTTACACACACACGATTTTTTTACTGGGTGGACGGGGAGGGGGGGGGATTGGACGGGGAGACACTATAGTGAGGCTCGTCTCAATAGAGTGGCGAAGTCCCTCCCCTTCCGGTTGAGCCCCATGGGACCTTATTTCGGAAAAGTTATGCATTGAAGTCAATGGAGAGAGAAAGATTATCTTTCGATCCCGTTTGAATTGTGCCACGAATTACACATATGATGTTTGTCAATTTAAAAGATAATTTTGCAAGTCAAAAAAATTAAAATTTGTCGTAAAACTGTGAAGTAACACATTTGTTTGTGTGAAAGGCTCAATGAACTACATCTCTGGTCAACCACACACGTCACCAAGATGGCCGTCACTACTGTCTTGTCAACAAACGATTGACTATCACCACAATGAAACACGTCCTGAAGAATGTCATGCAAAGCCTGCCTTCCTTTGATTCTCTCTGAACTGCCTGGTCGTTTTAATGTTTAATGTCAACCATTTGTGCAGATAGCATGAAGTAGAAAAGATCGCCGATGCTAACGTTAGCGTTAGCATTTCTCCCCCGGAATTAAATGGTGTATTATAGAATGATCACACCGGTGACAGTACTATTCAAAGGGTTCACGAAATATGACTACTACTCTTACTGTTTAACATTTTGGGTTACTTAATGTTACTTCATGTTAAGGCTAATAAAAATGACAAGGCTGTAATGCTAACTAACGTGCTAGCTACTAGCTAGGTAGCTAACTTGATCAAGCCACTCCTGGTCGTTTCATCAGACGGGAAGCAAAAGAACGAGCAAGACCCATTGCTGGTATAATAACAACCTGGTACTAAGCACACAGGCATCTTGTTAAAGTTATCTTATCTTAGCCAGCGCCATATAGATAGATTATATCTATATTGCGCTGATCTTAGGTATCTGAATGGTGGAGGTAAACAATTGTGACATCACTTACGCGACTCTGGGATTTGTAGTCTTTCTAGTTACGTATTTTTCATAGTCTTATATTTCAACAGTTTTACGACAAACTGTGACTTTTTTGACATGGAAATGATTTTTTAAGATTGACAAACATCATATGTGTAATTCATGGCACAATTCAAACGGGATCGAAAGATAAGTTTTCTCTCCCCATTGACTTCAATGCATAACTTTTCCGGAATAAGGTCCCATACCCCGGAAGTAAGTGGGAGGGACTTCGCCACTCTATAGAATATTTCACCTCCTCCTTTCCCTCGCATACCCCGCCCCTAGATTCTACCGGGTCCGTCACACACACACACACACACACACACACACACACACGCTTCAAATCAAGTTGCATAAATGCTTGAGCTACGTTTTTATTATAATTAATAAATGAATTTCTAGTAACTCTATAGCCCCATCCACAAGTAACGTTTCCACGTCAGGTATATATTATGTATGCTAGGAGCAACACACGGAGTTAACTAAATGATACAAACATGGGTTAATGATTAGAGGTAACTGAGTTATTTATTTTGTTAAAGTTTCAGCTATCCTGTTTACAGTTCTGTCATCACATAATTTAATACGATTTGTTAAAACATTGTTGTTTCTTATTTTCAGTTTGCTTCAAGCATGGCTGTACGAGAAAGACGTGGAGGACCAAGAAATGCTGGCCAGATTGGCAAAGACCGGAAGATACATAACAGAGAAGATAATGGATATTAACAAGAAAAAGAAAAAAATACTTTAAAACATTTTTTTTAATAATTTCTTTGTTGCTATTTACATTTTGAATTATATTTGTTATTTTTAAATCAAATGCATCTATTTTAGATGATATATTTATTTAGATGTAGGTTTTTTTTGTAATATTATTGTATTGTTAATGTATAATTTATTAAATAAAAATACTGTTATGAACACAATACAATGTCTTTATTTTGATAGTTACCAGAATACATTGTATATTTAATACTAACATAAGCTGGTGATAGATAAATGCTGGTCTGCTGGTCTGCTGGTATGCCAGCAAAACCAGCATATGTTGTGTTTTGGTCGCTTGTATGCTGGTCTATGCTAGTATGCTGGTGACCAGCAAACCAGCATACTATGCTGGTCCCCAGTATGATCCACCAGCATGGACCAGCATGATCCACCAGCATGGACCAGCATGATCCACCAGCATGGACCAGCATGATCCACCAGCATGGACCAGCATGATCCACCAGCATGGACCATGCTGGTGGTCCATGCTGGTGGTCCATGCTGGTGGTCCATGCTGGTCCATGCTGGTGGATCATGCTGGTCCCATGTCATGCTTTTCCGGTTATTACCTCGTCCCGCCAACACGGCACCCAGACCCCACGCAGCATTCTCATCTGTTTGTCATTACTGGTGTCATTTTCTGGTTGCTAACAAACGCCATTGTAACACATAATCACTGATGTTCCGCTGTAACGGTGGTGGACTCATCAGAGCACAGTGGGCTCATAGGGAGGGGGGGGGCAGGAGCTCCAACAAGGCGTGTAGGACAGAGAGTGAATACACCGACTATACAGAGATGCTGTGTGAGAAACCAATGTGAGTTTGGAACATTGAACAATGTAAATCTATTCTAGTAGACCTCAACAATGGAATTATGATCAGTAGAAATGGCCATGTCATGGGACCTTTAAACTTCTAAATTCTGTTGATTTGATCTGTAATGTCCTTTACAACTTTTGTTGTTTTAATGTGGTCTTACAGTTTACACCTATTTATCAAATGATTTATTAAAGGGTATGTACATGGCTGATATTTGATGTTTACATGAAATGTACTTTTACACAAGTGTCAATATCATTTTATTTTTCCATTTAGTGGCCCGGGGGTTCTTCTAGAAGGAAAGCTGCTGGATGTTTCCAGACATGCGATCACTGATTGCAACAATCAAAAGGTAAAATGTCTAACCTTCCTTCTTTTATTGTGGGAGAAAGACCTCCCGAAGACTACCTAATCGTTGTCAGCGTTAGTCTTTTGGACAGACTGAACCTCACTCTCAGATGAAAACGAGCCTCACTGTGTCTGTTCTTGGCAGGCCCGTTTCTATGTGCTGTACATCAGGCCCAGCCGCGTCCACCAGAGGAAGTTCGATGCCAGCGGGAAGGAGGTGGAGCCGAACTTCAGCGACACCAAGAAGGTCAACACTGGCTTCCTCATGTCCTCCTACAGTGAGTGGATCACACATTTGAGTTTATGATGCGTGTTTATTAAACTCGTCTGTCTGCCAACTATGCTGTGAGGGATGTTGAGTGAGCGATCACAACTAAGCAAAGCTAGATTAGTCAGTTAGCTATTTAAGCTAGGCCTAAAGAGTTGACTTTGTTACAAAGATCATCTTTAACCTGGCTAGATCGCCATGGCAACTTATGCTGCACTGTAGTGCTAACCTGTTCTGGAAAAGGTTATGTTCAGATTTTTGGATATAACTGGTTTAACCTCTTAAGCCCTGAGCCTGTTTTTCAGGTCTCAGGCTCGAAAATGACATTCCCAGAACAAATGACCATATCTTCCCTTCTAAAAGGGTTAAATTAATAATCTTTATTCTCAAAGTAATGATAAACCTGTGAGTTGGATTTAGAAAAGTCAGAATCAATATAGATGTTTTTTATTTTAAAGAAAATTCAGATTTTACATAGTAAAAAACTGTAAATTATAGTGTCCGTCCAAATATTATTTTTTACAGATAGTGAAAACTACCCTTGTATGATGGGTTAGTAGACTAAAAGCTTTAGGAATCCAAAGTACAACATATAATAAGTACCCTGTATCAAGATTGATGCAAAACAAGTGAAATTTGACCTTTTTAGAGAGATTTAGCCAAAAACCCCCACTTCTGGGGTCATTTGGGTGGATTTGACCTATCTCTGGCCCCCCTTGCTCGATTTTGATGAATGAAATGTCTTTATAACCGCTAGAGCCAATGGAATCGAGGGAAAGTTATATACACACCAAAACGTTAACAAATAAGGAGTGAGAGTGACGCGTTACCAAAACCGGAAGCTGCATACACTCTGGTGGCTACCATTAGCAGCTAACTTTTCCGCTCCGATTTTTACATAAAATATGGAATTATGGATTATAAATAATTTCTTCAAAGGCACAGGTACATTATCAACCTATGGATCAACAGTTGTAGCATTTTTTTTTTTCGTTTTAATGCCATTGAACACGTCTTTTGACCTAATTGACAGCTACGGTGAGACGATCTGCCGTAAAAGCTCCGTAAAGGTACGTGTTGTGATGTCTGTGTTTGCTTCCCCTGTTGCAAGTTCGGATCGCTCAGTGATGATACTATACCTAAATAATCAGTGGAGTCTCAGCTTTAATCGACTATATTGTATGTGCAGCTACGATAAGTAATAAGGGTATTTTTATCTTGAATTGTGTGCCGCAGTGCGTTAGAATTTTTTCGCTCAGGGGTCAATTCTTATGAGACTTGTGTTTTGTTTTGGTAAAAATGGTTCATATCTTCAGTTAGCTGAGATTCTTCCCGTTAATCTGGTGCTACACATTAATCGTTACATAAATGTTAAGAAGCCCTGAGACATTATCTCGAAAACAAAACGGTGGGAGGGGTCCAATGGGGGGACCGCCGTGCTTAAGAGGTTAAAAATGCCAATCAGAATCAGAAACGGGTTTATTACCAGGTACAGATGGAGCATCGTATTTCAGACAGTTTGAAACGCGAGGGTCGTGATTGGGTCGTGATTGGTCCATGATCGGCCCGTGATCGGTTCGTGATGAAGAGCCGGCCCCCAGTCTGACTTGATACCGCCCCCGTGATAAATACATTTAATTATTGTGAAGCCAGCTGCAATGGATCATTGATCCACCAGGGGGTGCAGTGGGGTTCCACACTGGAGCTCATGTGAAATCAACTTCGATACAGTAAGCTGGATGTACAGTATGTCTGGTACTAATGTATAGCGGATCTTTGTTAAGATCCATATGTCACGGATAGGATCATAGTCTGTGCTAAATAAGACATGTAATCATTTACAAAACATCACCATGTTGTTATTTAACAAAATAATGTTGTTTAGTCGAAAAAAACGAACGAGAGGAAATGCAGCCGGCTCTCCCGATTTGTAATCCTAATTTAATCATCATCTTCACCACGATCATTTATGTTTATGTTCGCCGAATTGACATGAAATCACTGACAAATATGAATATTCTGTATTCAACTTCATTAAAACGATCAAGACCCTGGGTGTTATTTTTCCCCACAATGAGAAATAGTCAGAAAAGCAGAAAAAGAACACTCAAACAGAGAGACGAGTTATTATTACAACGTGACTTCACTATTATTTAACAACTGTTTTTATTGGGTTCTTTTATTTGGGGTTAAGTATAGGTGAATTGCACTAATGTGGGAAAGATCGTGATGTCTCCTCCGATCTGCTTTATGATCTTCGTTCTCCCGCTGTGTAGATTGGGGGACCGCCGTCCTCTGTCTTCAATGTTCGACATCGCGTGAAACAGAGGATTTCGACATTCTGTATTCCTTGCTTACTTCCTTAAACCTTTTCTCCTCCTTATCTCTTTCATGACTTTTTATTTAATGCTTTATAACAGCTGTAATAGTTCGTTTAGAAATCCTAGAAACACTTTTATGGCAGCTCTCATTTACGGTAACTCCTTCTGACGTCATAGCTACCCACGTATAATATATAAACAAAGTCTTGGCTTTCAGAATATGAAACTTTTATTTCCAAAATCACACGATAAATACATTTGTGAAGCTTGTAAAGGGAAGATGACAGGCACCTCTCACTCGCAATCTGCTCCTCCGCAGCGCCGCCCACCTCCCTCCGGCTGAAATTATGAATGTACAGTAAGGCATAGTAATACAGTTTGTTTTCATCTGATTTCAAATAAACAAAGTCTTGGCTTTCAGAATATTAAACTTGTTTTGGCAAATTTAGATGATAAATACAACTATGAAGCTTGTAACGGCATAATTACTTAAGCGGAGAACGGAGTAATTTAACGTTACAGCAGGCATAACAACAGCCGGTGTTTATTTTATTATTATATATAGTTGTTATTCATTTGTTTTAAAGCTCAATAAGGAAGATTTAAACTTTCACACACGTCGACCGGCGAAAAACTCTGCCCGGTTCCCTCGGCCCCCACCACGTTGAATAAACAGAAGGCTGCTTTTGTGGAGGAAGTTACAGCGCTACGTACAGGCTCGGCATATGTACTGCAGCTTTTTCCAGCAGTATCCATAAATCTCTTAATTTTGACCTCAAAGTGCACCAGATTGATGCATTTAACTTCAATATAAAGAAAAACATCTTCTGTTGTAACAACAATAACATTATAAATAGTAACATAGCTGAACATGGTATTGCACATTTAGCTTTCAGTGTTACTGACCTGAGATGTTTTTATTACATGAATTAAGGTGACTGAGGCTTTTTAACATAGACTTTTCAGTGTCCCACATACCGTTCACCATCCCCCACCCCCCTACTGTATGTTGATTTTTGACTTTGTTTGCCTACATGTAAATGGGTGGCATTTAGTACCTACCCCCCCTCTGAGTGAATACCTGTTGTACCTGTCCGGGGCTAAGCCCATAGGACGATGCTCTGATGTCATCACCCTCGCACATTTGTCATATGTTTACAAAAAACGATGTTAACACTTTCTCGTTCTTAATATATGCTATATTTAGGGTCGATAT